CCACCACGGGGCAAATTTCAGGTGGAATTCAGAGGGGTTTCTGGATCCTTCCGAATCCCGCTGGGGCGCTTTTGCGGGTGGCTGCAGACAGAGTATTTCATCCGGGAGCACCAGTCGCTGCTGATCCCGTCAACGTCGGTATAGGCGCATTGTCCCTCACCCCGGATGTCGAACCTGCACCAAGACAGCAGAAAAAGAACTCAGAAAGGGAAGCAAATGCGTTGTCAGCAGCCATGGGTCGGTGGCTGAGCATCTCCCACATCTGCAAGGAGTGGGGGCCACCCTTCCCAGCAAACAACCCGCCCCCTGGGGAACAAAAACTGCCTCCCACACCACCACGGAGGGAATATTTTCAGTGGCTCCGTCCCATGGGGGTTCACCTCAACCCCCCACCAGCATCTGCATCGCGCAAAGCCACCGACCACAGCCCAAGAGCTTTAGCTCAAGCAAGAAGAGTAGAGTTTAATTGCTGCCACCTCGTTAAATTTAGATATCTATGTGTCTTCTTGCGTTCAATCCCTGACCCATCTCAGGCCAGGAACGTGGGACACGTTCTCCAGAAGAAGAGGGGACGTACGGGTTGTTGAAGAGAGACCCGTTGAACCATTCCCAAGGTCCAGAGCCTTCCCTGCGAAGGCCGAGCCAGTAGCGCGATGAAGTCCCGTAGCGCAAGAGGAAACGCTAGAGGGGGAAAAAGCAAGCGTCACACGTGTCCGTCGTGCTACACCTTCCAGGGGAACCCCAAATCTGCTCCCCCAAAGCCACCGACACACCAGTTCCACGGGGACTTCTCATTTACCAGCTCCTCCGGGGTGTCGATGGTGGCCAAATGGGCTTGGAGAGAAAGGCAGGAGAGTTGACTCCTGTTCCAGTCTGCTTCATTCTCCACAAAGTAAAAACACTTCTCCCGGTACCCGATCCCATTTTCCAGGCAGCTGGGAAGGATGGGAGAAGGGCAGGAGGGACAGGACGGGCATTTCTTAGCTGGAAATAAGAAGACGACATCCTGGTGACTTAGGTTTTCTCCAGGAGGGGAGAGGACTTTGGTGGTGGGCGCCTCCGTCCTCGGCCACTTACCCGCCAGCGCGATGATGGCGAGAAGCAACGCTGCTACAACCAGGGTGACCCCAATGGGGACTTTCTTATCCTTAATGCACTTGAGGCTGAAACCTGAGGACAAACAGCGTCGAAGAGACACGGTCAGCAAACCCATGGTATGAAGAGCACCCCAAGCTCCTCGCAGCTCTTGTATCCCCCCCACCCCACCCCCGCTGTGGGTGCCTTCAACACCTTTAAATACAGCCACAAAGCACAGGGGGGGCGCAGGCTCAGTTCAGGGGGTGCATCCCAGGGCTTTCATCAGCCTCCATGGAATTTTAGGGCTGCCTGACCTCATTGCATCCTCTCATCCCCTCTCAACCACCAGAGATGGGCACCATCCCCCACACCCACAGCTTGGGCCACCCTGTGCCTCCAGCATTTTTTTCCCGCTCTCGGCTGCGACTGCGCCGTTACAGCAGCGGCGTCTTCTCCTGCGCAAGAGCAAGGAAGCCCATGGGAACCGGGCGAGTCACTACTGATGCCATGAAGTTGCTCATCTGGAAATGCCTGACCTTGGGTGTTTGTATCCCAGGAAAACGAAGGGGAAAAAGCCAATTTTCCCCTTTCATGCGCACGGCAGGAAGGGAAACACAATTTCCACCTTCAGAGAACCGTGACTCGCCTTGATTTTTCCAAGCCAGCCTTGATTTCATTGGCTTCTGCCGGCTCTGGAGAAGTGGCGTCTCAATTACTTCCCCCCTTCTCCAGCTGCAAGGTGTTTTCAGCTCCAGTCCCCACCCCAGGACCCTCAAGCCAGCATGGCGCTGGGTCGCCCTTCCACTGTCTCCCATAACATCCCCGTAGGGAAGCTCAGGAAATGTGGGTTGGATGAGTGGACAGTGAGGTGGATTGGGAACTGGCTGCAGGGCAGGGCTCAGAGGGTTGGGATCGGCAGGGCAGGCTCTGGTTGGAGGCCGGTAGCGAGTGGAGTTCCCCAGGGCTCAGTGCTCAGCCCGGTCTTGTTCAACTCATTCATCAATGACCTGGGCGGGGGGGCAGAGCGGGCCCTCAGCAAGTTCGCTGATGACACCAAACTGGGAGGAGTGGCTGATCCACTGGGAGGCTGCGCCGCCATCCGGCGGGACCTGGGCAGGCTGGAGAGTTGGAAGCTGATGATGTTCAACATGGGCAAGTAAGTGTCAAGTGCTGGCCCTGGGGAGGTTGAACTTCATGCACCAGGACAGGCTGGGGGCTGAGCTGCTGGAGAGCAGCTCTGCCCAGAGGGACCTGGGGGTCCTGGTGGGCGACAAGGTGGCTATGAGCCAGCAGGGTGCCCTGGTGGCCAAGAAGGCCAATGGCATCCTGGGGTGCATCAAGAGGATCGTGGCCAGCAGGGCGAGGGAGGTTCTCCTCCCCTTCTGCTCTGCCCCATTGAGACCCCACCTGGAGCACTGGGTCCAGTTCTGGGGTCCCCAGTTCAAGAAGGATGAGGAGCTCCTGGAGAGAGTCCAGAGGAGAGCAACAAGGATGATGGGGGGACTGGAGCATCTCCCCTATGAGGAGAGGCTGAGGGAGCTGGGTTTGTTCAGCCTGGAGAAGAGAAGGCTGAGAGGGGATCTCATCACCACCTACAAATATCTCAAGGGTGGGGGTCACCAGGA